GCGGCGGCCGTTGGCGGCGGTTGGGGGCTGTTGGCGGCGGTTGACGGTGGCGGTTGGTGGCGATTTTGCCCCGCCCCGTCTCATCTCTCTTCCACGAGGGCTCAAAGGGCTCCTGGAAGCGTAAAAGCCTTCCCGGGACCAGGCCGAACCGGACCGCCTTGTCCTGCCTGCCTGCCTGGCTGTGGAAAAGGGCGGCGGTTCCGCGGCCGGTGTCTGCGCGGGGCGGAGGGGACTGTCCGAGCCGCTCGGCCCCGCAGCGGCCGCCGCACGGGCTCTGTGGAGGGAGGAGGGGCAGCCACGCTCCGGGAAGCGGGAGGTCCTTGTGCAAGCGCAGCCGTAGCCGCGGCCTTTCCGGGCTGGAGCGGCCCCGCCGCGGGCTTTGCGGGGGCGCGGGCGGCAGGGGGGTCCCGCGCCGTCCTTCCATCCCTCCCTCCTTCCTTCCCCGGAGCGGCCCGTGCCGTGCAGGAGCAGGTACCGCTACCCCGGGGCTCGCTCCCTCCCAAATGGGCGCGCGGCTGCCCCTGACCACCGTGTCCAATAATGTGGGTTTCCCCCTCTCCTCGCTTGGTCAGCTGGCAGTAGGTCCCATGTGTGCTGCCTGGTCATCCACCACCCCGCCACACCACCAAAAGCCAGAGCATGTGGGTCCCCCGCTCTCCCCGCACTGAAGGCCAGAGGATGTAGGTCCTTCCACCCCACCTAAAGCCAGAGCATGTGGGTTCCCCAAACTCCCCTCACCTAAAGCCAGTCTATGGGTCCCCCAGACTCTTCCCACCAAAAAAGCAGAGGCACCTGGTCCCCATGCATCTCTTCTCCCCACTGCTCAGTCAGAGTTTGTGGGCCCCCCAAGTTTCACCCCAAAGCCCAAGGTATTCCCCCCAGGTCCCCTGGCACTCTGTATCCTCCATCCTGGCGGCCTGTTTCTCCCACACTAGTGCAGTGTCTGTCACTGGACCCGCGTGCCGCGCGGGGTAGACAGTGGTGCCAGTGTATGCAGTGCCGGCGGTGCTGTTCGGTGCCAGGCTCCAGCACCCTGTGGGGCACTGCTGGGCTGGGACGCTCCTCCACAGCGCCAGGCCTGGGGACAGTGCCAGCACGGGACCTGCCCTTGTGCCAGCCATGCCCATCTTCCCGTTTTCACTGTTAAACCTGCGTCAGCGCTGCGTTGGGCTAAACACCTCTTTCAAATTGCCCCAATAGTAGGCGGACTTAGGCAAGCCTGAGGCAGAAGTCCCTGCTTGTGTTGCTGCTGGGTTTGTTTCTGAGGCTTCGGTCGCCTGGCTGTCACTGCCTGTGTCTCGTCTCTCCACTGCTCTGAAGGAGGTGAGGTAATTGAAGGAGATCTCTACAACAGTTCGCAATGCATATGGACAGAGAAATCTGAAGGTTTTTATGCTTACATTGCTATGAAAGCTGCAGGAAGGGTTGGGGGTGGGTGGATGACGAAGAACAGACTAAAGACATTTCAATATCTTTCCAAAAAAGGGAGCATTGTCTATAGTTATCTGAAAGGGGAAAGAGTGGAAGCAGCAATAAAGTTGGTGAGGTTCAACCTGCACAAGGAAATATAAGTGTTCTTTCAGTCATGAGGATAGGCTGTGGCTAAAATGAGAGGTTGGGCAATGTGTCTGTAATCTTATCTGTGTTCTGCATTTACGTGTTGTCCTAACATGGCTTATTCACTGGTTTTGTGGCTTCAGTTTGGTTCTTGCAAACTTAATATTGGAACAGTTTGTTTGTTTATATTAGTATCATAACTGATGGTTCTGGTAATTGTTTCATTTATTGAGATTTAAACTATATTTTACTTTAACGAATAAATCATCCATAGCTGTCTGTCTGGAATGTAAAGTTTTTTTCTCCCTTTTTGTTTTGTTTTCTTTTTATACGGGTCACTGGAGTCACTGGTGGCAGCTTTGTGGGCAATATCACTCCTGCCACATGTTTAAGCACTTAAACAGATCCTCAGGGTATCTGTCCCTTGGTTATTCAATTCAGCCCAATTGCATGTGGCCCAGAGTACCCTGATCTAGTTTTGAAATTAACCCTTCTCTGAATGGTGTATTAGTACTGATCTCTACATCTCCCTCCCAAACCTGTTTTTTTGTGTCTGTCTTGTACATTAGGTGTGTTACAAACCAGTGGGAGACTTCGGGCATGGAGCAACTGAGTTTGTCCTTTGCAAGGATTGTATAATTCCTTTCTCTGATGCATCATCAGAGAAAGAATGGGTGGATCCATCCAGCAAGAGTGAGGCTTGCTGGATGGATCCCTATCGGATAACAGGCATACTTTTCAACAGTAGTCTTCAACTGATACAAATGATTATCAGGATGCTTCATTAGGCTTGATTTTTCTCCAGAAAACAGCATTTAAAATATAGCTGCTCATGTGGGGTAGATGTCAGGATATGCATATCTTAAATCCTCTGACCTGTATGTCCCCCACAGAGCTTTCTTGCTTTGCTATGTTTTCGTGCATCTCTTACTTTACTCTGGTGTCTGTGGCTTCATATGTCACAGTTTTTGCTATTTGTTTGCTATACTCACAAGCCATACCCATTTTTCACCAAAAAGGATATGATGCTGCTCCTTGTCTGCTACTCCAGGCTGATTTAGGAATGGAAAAGGAAGAAAAAGATGTGTAGGTACCATCTGAGCTCAGGAAGGGATGGAGTGAAGACAAAATCAGTTGTATTGTCTGAGTGTTTTGAAAGCTAGAGAATGATTTTTTTTTTCACAAAGCAGGCCTGAACTTGTTCCGTGGTCCTTTTTTTTTTTTTTTTTTTTTTGTCTGCTGCAGGTTCTGTAATAATAATGATATAGCTGGAATCTGCTGTTACTCATTTGCCTAGTGAATTTCCTGCTTTGTTTCAGTTTTGCGTATAAATATTTCCTGAAAGAGATGAAGAAAGGACCAGAAAGTGTATCATGTTCCCTTGATGAAATTCCAGACAAATTAGTGGAGCCAAATTCCAACAGTAACACCAGCAATGAAGCCTCAGCAAAAGAAAAAGACGTGCTGTCCTTTCCTGAAGAACTGGAAAGTGTGCAGCTGAAGACCGGTAGAGGGAAACCCAGGAAAAAACTTTGCGGCTATTTAAACAAACTGGGCATCAAGGGGCCAATTAAGACTTGGAAGTCTCGCTGGTTCTTTTACGATGAAAACAAATGTCACCTACTATACTACAGAACTGCACAGGATGTCAACCCTTTGGGGAGTATCGATCTGTCCAGTGCTAGCTTTGATTGCAAGTTAGAAAATGGGGATGGAATTTTTGAGATCAGAACTCCAACCAGAGTTTTTACTTTGAAGGTAAGGAGCAATATCTTCTTTTGAAAGCTGTTACAAAACATTCCCAGTCAGGATAGACAAGTCAGTGCTAAGATAACTCTGCCTGAGTTTCATTTTAGTGGCAACTTGACTTTTACCTTTAGGTCCTAAATTGCTTGCACTGCTTCTGCTTCTCCATTTGCTGTGAAAAGTTTTGTTTTTATTTGGCCCAGTGAAATTAAAGGTGAATAAAATCAGGCAGGAATCCTGCAATCTACGCATATGTTTCTGAGCAGAACTCCATTTCCCTTTATCAGATGGTTGCTCCAGCAGTAACCTTGGGTGGGTATTTGTTTCTTTGAAAGTATCTGTTAAGGATGCTCTGTGAGAGATTCTCAGCTGAAGTAATCTTGCTGTTTTCTCTTAGCCTTTGAGCATAGTAAACCACAAAAGTGTTGAAATGAGATCAGCTGCCTGCTGAGGTCCTATGAGACCATACTGCAGATTTACTCCCCTCTCTTGAATTAGAGTTAGAATCAGAAGGTGCAGCATAGGCATGACACAGCTAAACCTTTATTACTGCTGACTGAGGCGTTGCAGTGGTGATCAACCCCTCAGGATGTGCCTTGTGTTGATAAAATCCTCCTCCCCCTTTCCTGTTTTGTCTTATGTTAGGCAATCAGCAGGCAGGCAATGATGTACTGGCTGCAGCAGCTACAAATGAGGCGTTGGGAATTTTGCAATGCTCAGACCAGATTTCCTGTGGGCAGCTCCCAGCTTGTGAATGAACCGCTGCTTGGCAGAACAAGTAGGTGTCACCTATATTAGCCACTTTTTTGCTTTCAGTCCTTAGTCATGAATGGTAACCCCCACTAGTAAGTGAGCAGGAGGTGTTTACATGCAAGTGACTGTCATCAGTGCATGGACTGATATGTGCAATTTCTGGCCCTTATGGATGAGTGGAAACAGACTTTCTGCTGCTCCATATCTCATCTGCAGATGAGCTCAGGATGGTGCCTGAGATGCTTGGATATCTTTCCATGGATTCCCTTTTGATTTTCAACATGTGCCAAATCTGCATATTTAGTGTGTCTCCATCTTCTTGCCGGTCTGCTGAGCTTACAGCAAACAAATTATTTTGTGGGGATGGGTGGATGAGGATGTATGTTGCTAGAAATGTGAGTACACAAGGTGTGGTTCAGTGCATGGCACAAACAGAGTATTCACCTAGATGCAGATTTTGTTTGAAAGAAAAACAGCTTCCCTCACCGCCCCCAAAATGTAGCTGTTTTAAAAATTCTGATTATCTTGACATTTCACCGTGCCAAGCAATAATATGTCAATGAAATGTGTTATTATCTACACGTTATTAATATTAGGTATTGCTTGGGAAGGTGAGGCAGGAACAGTAACAGCTCTCTTCCTTTTCCTTTACAAGGTTAAAGTTTGGAGTTAGTTATTGTAGCATGCAGATAGTTGTGGTCACTTGACTGTCCATGAAGAGATGAATGTGTTTATACCTGCTTATTTGTTTGATCTAAAGATAAGAAAACCTGATTTCCTATCATTCTTCCACTGGCCTGTGTACACCAAACTTTGACTTGTGAGAAAAATGTGGTTTCTAAATCATATGAAGGAGTCCAGTCCAATGGAAGTTTGTCTTGCTCGCTTCTGTGTTTTGGTTCCTTTTTTATGTAGATGTTGTTGACAGTGAAGACTTTCTGCCTCCAGTCAAAACACCAACAGAAGCGGTGGGTTTAAAGGCAGCCTCTTTGCCTGCACCCCAAACATCTACTGCTCTGCAGAACATCTCCCTTAAGCACCCCTGGACAGAGATACAGTAAGTACACAGGGCAGACTGCAGTGTAGTTGACATTGTAGCCTGTTGCTTTGTGCTTTCTGTCCGCGTGTTTCAATTCATTTCATGTTGTTTAGTACTCTTAGCAATGGTCATAGCAGCAGGATTAGAGCTATGAGACTACTATTTAGCTTGTTAGCCTAAGTTGATCTTCAAGCAACCGAGTAGTCTCACTGCCTCTGGTGGCACCCTGTATGCACTTGCAATGAGGGACACAATTCAGGCTACAAGTTAAAGACTGAGGCAGTTTCAGATGCACAAAGGCAGCTCCATTTAGTATCTCTTAACTCTATTCCATCCATAACTTTAAGTGTCTAAGTGGTCAGAGGTACCCTGCCAAATGTTTTTGGAAAGGTTTTTCTCCTTTTGCACCATCACTGCTAAGGCTTTGAGATGATGCTGGTAGGAAGAAAGGTCCTGCATGGACTGAAAAGGATCACAGCCAAGACAAATCAGGCCTGCTGATTTTATGTGCCAGTAGTTTCCCTGTGGTCAGAAATGGCTGCTCTTCATCTGCAGAGTCCCACAGTAACAATGGAAAAGGAGAGCAATAACTAAACGCCATCTTTTTATAGAATCACAGAATGGTTGAGGTTGGAAGGGACCTCCAAGATCATCTAGTCCAAGCCCCCTGCTCAAGCAGAGACACCCAGAGCACAGGGCACAGGGTGGCATCCACGTGAGTTTGGAAGATCTCCAGAGAAGGAGACTCTACAGCCTCCATGGGCAGCCTGTGCCAGGGCTCGGGCACCCTCACAGGAAGGAATTTCTTCCTTACGTGTAGATGAAACTGCCTGTGCTGCAACTTACACCCGTTGCTCCTTGTACTGTCACTGGCCGCCACTGAATAGAGTTTGGCCTCTTCCTCCGTACATTCTCCCTTCAGGTATTTATACATACTGATCAGATCTCCTGTCACCTTTCTCCAGGCTAAACAGGCCCAGCCCACTTAATCTTTCCTCATACAATAGATGTTACAAAATTTGAACTTTTACAATTAGGAAGTAGCTGACAACAAGCCCTTTCCAGAAATCAGAGCAAGAGGCTTGTTTTCATTTAGCTAATAGGCAACATTAGAGGGGAAAAGATAGATTTGTTACAGAAATAGGCACAGTCTTGCTTTCTTGTAGAAGTTTTGCAGAAAGCAGTTGCATATTTGTGGTTCTGCACAATGATGCAACATTATCTGGTAGTCCTGGTCCACTGAGCACAGACCCTTAGGAAAGCAGAAAGTTCAGTGAGGCACTGAATAGTCTGAAGCTGCTGGCTGCAGTGGTTGTGACTTCTGTTCACTAGGCTGTCTTTGATTTCTTGTTTCAGAAACACTGTCTACAATATCTGTGGCTCCAAGCAGCTCTGGGGGAACAATGGGAATGTCTTTAATTTTGATGAATTCCAGGAGCATGCCAAGAACCTGGATGAGGAGCAAGAGACAGAAATGGAGGCAGGGTGTGCAGGTGCCTATTGCTGTTCTGTGTGAGGTGTTATGAGAATAAATCCTTGTAGTGGGTTGCTGGGCCTGACAGAAAAGGGAGGGAGCAAGTAGCAAGCCCTTCTTGGGACACGAAAAACCCTATCATATTTCCTCAGGTCACTTCTGTGTCATTTAGCAGGAATGATGCTTTTGACTCTACTTCAGACTGGATCTGTTGTATCTCCTAGCTCTGGGACCTACACCTGTGGGAAAAGTAGCACCATGATCCCTGTCCATACTGATATTTCTTTAAAATAGAAGTTAAATTGATGCACTGTTGCATCCTCTTCAACCCTGAATTACTAAGCATGCAGTGGAGCTGCTGGTGAGCCTTTTCTCTCCACTAATGATAATTTTGCTACAAGACAGATCGGTGGGGTGCAGTTTAGGTAGACAGGGGCCATAGAAGACCATAACCATGTTTATTTTATGGGTACCTGTGATTGTTGTCTACTGTCTGTGCTCCAGTCCTATGAATCCATCAGGTCAATTCTGTCTGTCTTGTGTGCCAGCTTTCTAGGCTAGGCTGTTATGAATCCCCCCCACAGCAAGACAGAAGAGTCCGTAGTAGCAGCCCAGTTTGATTTAATTTTTTTTTCCCTTTTTGCTTCAGTGAAACAGGGAGCTCTGGAGGATGTGAGGATTGAGCCCAGACTAAACTGGGCTCGCAAGGCCAGGTGGAGGAACAGTGGCTTCCCAGGCTTGACTGAAGAGCTTCACCAAGAGAGGAGCCCAGTGGATAAAGTGGGTGTCCTACAGCAACAGATCCTGACACTCACAGAAGAAGTTAAGTCACAGAAGGTGAGTGTGGCTTAGGAACCTGTTGCTTCTAAGGACAGGATCGTGAAACTGCTCACAGAGACTTCCTAGATTTTATTGTTAGGCTAAGAAATGCATAGCTCGCAGTCACTGAGGTGAGGGAGGGGCAATTGAAGCCCCTAGTGTTACTCCATTGCACATGGAGCTGTCTCTGTCCAATGCAAGGGAGAATGGCAGCTGTTGCTAGGAGTGACCTGCAGTAGATAGGCTAGATGGGGGAGGAAGAGCAAATCCAGGGACATTCTGCAAGTTTTATGCTAGTGCAGCTCTCTTTCTTTCAGTGTGGGTGAAGTACAGTGCTGTCTGTTACAGCGGTGCTGTCAGAAATGCCTTTTTCATCTATGCTGGTTGCAGCAGATCATGTTTCTGAATAGTGCCCCACCATTAAGAGATGATTCAACTACAAAAATCCCACATGTTACCTGCAAGGGTTGTCTCTTGAGTATGATGCTGTTCTTCTCTGGTTGCATGTAGCAATAGAAGGCTCTCCAATAGTGATGCTGGTTACTTTTCCAGCAGGAGAAACAGGAGAGGCAGGTTGCCATGGTGAGTAATCAATTACATCCTGATCTGGCTCCCTGAAGTGGCTGAGATTAATCAGCATCATGGTGCTAGGGCAAATTTTTGAGTTTTAGTGTAGGAAGGAATAAGGGAGGATTCTGGCAGAGACAGCAGTTTCTATCTCGTAGCACAGACAGATGCAGGCTTCATTATTCCCCTTCCTCCTATTCTGCCCGACTGCTGATCACAGAATCACAGAATGGTTGAGGTTGGAAGGGACCTCAGGGATCATCCAGTCCAACCCTCTGCTCCAGCAGGGACACCCAGAGCACGGGGCACAGGGCGGCATCCAGGTGCGTTGGGAAGATCTCCAGAGAGGGAGACTCCACAGCCTCCCTGGGCAGCCTGTGCCAGGGCTCGGGCACCCTCACAGGGAAGAAGTTCTTCCAGAACTCCAGATTTTCTTGTCTCTTCTGAGGCTCACAGGAGAGATGATTTAGAAAGCCAGGAGTCAAGTGGTTTGAGCAGAGGTTTCTTAGAAATCCACCTAAGGTTAACTTATTTGTTGCCTACTGCAAGGCCTTCTCATGGTTAGCTCTGGCAGCAGAGCTTCTCTAGAAGCTAAATACAACTCATTCATTTTTTTTTTCTGAGATCCTAAGGATCTTCAGCTGTTTTCTTTTGCTTAATATCAGTATAATCTGTGTTGCCGGTGTCCCATGTGTCACTATGGTGTGATGACTTCTTGTTTCCTTTCCAGGAGCTGGTTAAGCTTCTCCACAAAGCTCTGGAGGCAGCCCAACAGGAGAAGCGGGTGTCCAGCATGTACCTTACTGCAGCAGAGGATAAGGACAGGCTAGAGCTGGTGCGCCACAAGGTGAGACAAATTGCAGATCTAACCAGTCGACTGGAAGCTGTTGAGAAAGAAAAGAAGGAGCTGGAGCAGACGCTAGCCCTGAGAGACAGCCATATCCAGGAACTCAAAGATCATGTGCAGCTGCTGATGGAAAAGAATCATGCGAAACAGCAAGTCATCATGGCCTTGACGGAGCAGATGGCCCGAGAGCTCTCCGATCCCCTGCAGGAAGCCAACACTATCACTGTAGAAACACTATATAAACAACAGGAGGAGATTGAGCACTTGAAGGTGGGTGGTATGGCACACGTCACTAGGCTCCCATTACTGGATTCCCCGGTTCATTGAGTGGGTATTCCTTCTGGGAAGCATGAGATGTATCTCCGCTGGTTGTTCCATGTGTCTCCAAAGCAGATGCAGCTTGGATTGCTGGCCTGATACCAATGGGATGCTTGAAAGCATCAATGTCTGTTTCAGCTTCAGCCAGTGTCAGTTTTGTTTGCTTGATTTTTCCAAGCAATTTTGAAATTGCTTGAAATGAGACTCAGTCTTATCATTCAGTGCCTGCCTCTTTGTTCACTCTTGGTTTGCTTCACAGCTGCAGTATGACTTGCTGCCTTATCTGGCCTCTGTTCATGTGTTTCCTGCTTGTAAACAGTTTCCCAAAACATCCTGTTTCTTTCAAATGCAGCCTGGTGTCAGAGTAGGTACAGTTATAATGGACAGCTGGCATGAGTTGAAGAATTGCCAGAGGAGCCCCTTACCATGCTGTAGAAGAGTCTGTTTACTGCTAACTATGGCTGTCTTAGAAAATTGAGCAAATTATAAATATTTTTCATTTTATTTAGGTGCTTCTGTAGCTTCATATATGTATATCTATATAAACTCTCTGTGTTTTCTAAGTATGTCTCTATGAGATGCATGAAACACATTCCACATATATGCTTTAGGTATGCCACATCTATATAGTGATTTTCTTCATATTTGTCCTGGGGACACATATCTTCTCTGTTGAGATATATTCTTGTTCCTAATGCACTCCATGCCTGACATCCCTCTTGTTATATAAAAACTAAACTGGGAGGGAATTCCAAGCCCCTAAAGAACTCTTATTTCACTACTTTGCTTTGTGACAGGATGATATTGATGCATACAAAACACAGAATCAGTTTCTGAACTCGGAGATCCACCAGATTACTCGACTCTGGACAGGTGTTGCTGAGAATGAGAAAGCACTTCTAATGAAGGTGAGTAACTCTTTCCTCTTGGAGAGATGTATATGTTTCTGATTTAACTCCAAGCAGGCAGTGAAAATGGCCTTGATCTGAAACACATCAGGAAGAAGCTTTCTTCAGAGCATTGCTTTTCAGTGTATCCATTTCTCTGCAGTGTGTGGCTCCCAAATTTGATACAATCGTTTTAATTCTTAAATAAAAATAAAATATCTGCAAAGCGCACTCTTAGGGATGGTGAAACACGCCCTTCTGGATTTCAGCTGTGGGTTTTGATAAAAATAAAATAGCAATACTATGCTTGGGGAATTCTAAAGGTTTCCTAGAAGTTGCCAGATTGATTTAAGACCTGTCTCCATCTAATCTAGATTTTTCTGCTAGACCTGGCACTGTCAGGTGGCAGCACTCACAGGCACCTAGTTCACAGTTCACACTTTTTATTATGCTTTGGTGTTATTTTCAGTTTTGTAAGTGTGGATAACCTAGCTACCCTCAGACTTGTCTAATCCTTGCTGGCAGATGTACTACGTTGTAGTCCTGAAACTCTTCCCTAGGTTGGTAGCGTGTACTCGTATTCATTCTGTGGGTTTTCCCTGGATTGTCCCAGGGTTTCAGACAATATCTCTACAGTTTTGGATTCTAGACCAGGGCATACAGCTGCTTCTGAAAAGTGGTGCAAATCTTTTATATCTTTGTTTCCTACTATCCTGCTCTGATTCCACAGCTGCTGTAACCTTTAGAAGGGAAATAGATCAGCATGCTCAGTGTGAGGTAAAGCACTGACCAAAGTTCTCATGCTACAGTGTTCCACGCTCCTTTTTATTTCCTGCAGCCTAATAGTTTCTGTGATTTCTCTTTTGTTTTTGTTTTGAACTGTTGCTTCACACTGAGCAGGGGTCTTCATTGTGCATCCTGTGAGACACTGGGTGAGTCCTATCAGTTCTGTGGCTGCAGTGCCCCAGCTATGGAGTGGGATTTTCAATCTTTCCCACGGCTTCTTTGGTTTATGCATCCCAAGAGTATGGTAGTGTGTGCACAGGGACATTATGTGATTCACTGGGACCTCCTGCACTGAGAAGTGTTGTACATGAGGACTACGGGGTTGGTATTTAGGGGCTTGTGTCTGTGTTGCCCTTGGTAGTACTATGTGTGCTGGAGATGGCATGATCCCAGTTCTATGCCTGCAGAAGTGTATTTTGGCACGGTAAAGCTCAGTATGGGATAGAGAACTTATGTGAGGAGCAGGAGGAAAACCTGCAGAGAACTCAGCTGGAGTAAGAGCTGTTTGTGCTGTTTGAGATATGGCCACATGCTATTGTAATGTAGTAACTAGTGTGTGTGATGCTGTAGTAGCTTTCCCATGCCATAAGCAGCTTCTGTTGCATGCTCACTACTGCAACTTGTGTTTGCTCAAAGAGCAGGGTGGTTCATCCATGGCAGCGGTTCCCCTAACTGAATACTACTGTTACTGTGCTTGCTCACACTTTGCTCGTCAGAGGTGGTCACTTTTGGGGATCTGGGGTCAGCAGCCCTAGAACCAGCAGTACCATCCTGAACAGTGGGAGTTCCGTGGGCTGGATGCTGTGGACTGCTACAGGAGTTCAGTAGGAAACAGGAGCAATGCAGTATCACTGAGACAGTTCAGTCCCTCTTGTTTCCTTATCAGTGTGCCTGCCTGCAAGCCCAAAACTGCAAGATGGAGAGCAAATACCTGATGGTCTTGCGGAAGCTGCAAGAGGCTGTGCCTCTCCTGCCCAGCTCCCACGCTGAGCTGGTGAGGAACCTCATCCAGGAAGCACTCCAGTGGGATGTGAAGGAAGGAACAGAGGAAGGTCTTAATCTGAATCCTGTAAGGTAATTGGGAAGAGCATGGAAACATGAGCTTCTTTGCAGAAGTCCAGCAGTGCAGGGGAATATACGGGCAACAGTGAGCCAGGGACATTTCTAGAGCAGGGACTTGCAACCATTTGTCCTGAAGGCTCAGGGGCAGTGGGCAAGTTCTAACTGCTAGAGAAGCAAAGGAGGAGTACCTGAGCTGCGGTGTGGGTGACAGGAGTACAGAGGGAGGGTCCAGTTGGCCTGGCCCCAAGCAGTGGATGCTACTGAGTCCAGAGCTGGCCTTGAATTAACCTCTACCTTGTATCACTCTAGTGAGCATGATGAGTATGGATTTATGACTGTGCCTGAATACGAAGTCGAGGACTGGAAACTTCTGGCCAAAATCCAAGCCTTAGAGATAAAATCTAACAACCTGCGAAGCCAGGAGGTAGTGGAAAAGCCTCTCCGTGACAGGTGGAATAGTGTTGGAGAGCTGAGCCCATCTGCGGAGCTGAAGAGCCTGATCCGAAGCGGCATTCCTGTAGAACACAGGCAGCGAGTTTGGGGGTGGATTGTGAGCCGACACTGCAGCCACCCCCCGGACCACTACCAGCGGTTGTTGAGGCAGAGTGAGAGCACTGAGCACCCTGCATGCCGGCAGATTGAGCTCGACCTGCCACGCACACTCACCAACAACAAACACTTCTGCTCTCCTACCTCCCCACTCATCCCCAAACTCCGCAGGGTGCTGCTGGCTTTCTCCTGGCACAATCCTACTATTGGATACTGCCAAGGACTGAACAGGTAAGGAGTCAGTGTGCTGCTTCTGCATATGGTGGCGCTGAGAAGATGCAGACGTATGCTGTAGGACTGCTTGAATTACAGCGCAAGCTCCTGTATCTCTAAAGATCTGCACTCTCTCTAGGTACTTTCTTTCAGACTTCTGCATTTGGTGTTTTTGTTTCTTTTTTTTACCCAGTGTTGTTGCTGAGATCAGGCAAGCAGTAGGATGCATCCCCTGGATCAGGGGATCCCTCAGTTAAAAGATAGATTACTCAGCATCTCCACAGTTAAAAGATAGAACTAGGAAAGTGAGGCAGTCCTGAAACAACAGCATGAAGCTTGGGGCAGATTTCAAAGGTTTAATGTGCTGAGGAGAAGAATGTCTTGATTGATTTTGCTCAGAAGACTTGGAGGAAATGTTGAAAGATTCAAGATTTGAAGTGTTGAAAGATTGGAGGACATGACATATTAGGAGAGGCATGTTCTGAAAAAGAAAAGACTTTGGGGCGTCTAGCTTCAGCCAGTTAGAGCTAAAGAAAGTAAGAACTGTGAAAGGATGAAGGTGACCTACGTCACGTAAAATTACTCTTCCTGCACTGAATTTGCAAAAGCCAGCACACTTTGCTAACTGCAGCAGATTTGCAGGCTATGCATCAGATAGATAGTCTGGTTTTGTTGCAGTGTTGTTGCATCCGATGCTTTTTGGTTGCTGACAGATGATAGTAGCACACTGGAAAGAAAATTTCAGTCCCTAGATATCTTCACAGATCACCTGTGTCTCTGACCAGCTGTCCTGCCACACATGATATTTTGGATGCTTTTGGAGGTAGAGATTTGCCAAGAGGAATTTTGCATTCTTTTGTTCCTGTGGTGTGTGTCTCCTCCTGCAGTGTCATTGACTCATGATGTCTCATTTATCACAGACTGGCAGCTATTGCTCTCCTGGTATTGGAAGATGAGGAAAGTGCATTTTGGTGCCTAGTCCATATTGTGGAGAACCTGATGCCCACGGATTACTACAGCAACACTCTGATAACATCACAGGTAAGCCAGGCACCCTCGTATCTGCTTTGACTTTCATACAGTGGTTTGCACTAAAGGTTTAGAAGCACATAGTCAACTTGCAGTATGTCTGATTTCTCACAGGACGGATGAACCCATCTTGCCTCTCATTACCAAGATGTGGAGGTCTCTAGAGTACACAGTCATTGTGCACAGAGCAGCTGTGAAATTGATCCACACCACTAGGATATTGGGCACCAGTACTGAATTACCACTTGAGGGTCAGGTTAGTCAGAAGGATGGTGCAAATTAATTGCATAGGTATAAACTGTGAAGAGGGCCCATTGAAGGTGAAGCAATAAACCCTTATGTATAAAGAGTAGACTCGAGTATGAACCTGGTAGTCTTCCGACTTGTCTTCAGGCTTGTCTTTGGAAACCACACCTCAACTCTTGGGTGTCATGGACAGATGGAAGAAAATGCTGAAACTTCTGTCTTTCTTCCTTTTACCTCAGTTTGTGATAAAATGCAGTGTTACTCTGGCTTTGGGGTTGCCCACAGATCACAAAGTCATCTGATGTATAATGTTATTCTGTAAAAAAACTCAGTCTCCTGGCTCTGACTCATTCTGATAGTTTTCAAAGGATCAGATATTCCATGTAGTGTCAAGTAAGCACAATACCAAGGTAAATGCCATATACTTCAGTAGAACTGTAATTGTGTACTATACTACCAACAACCAGCAGTGCCTGGTATGCTGTACCTGCCTCTAACTTTAGTGTCATTCACTTTTTGTAGAGAAAAGGATTAGAATTCTGAGCTCAAAATAAATGACTGGGCCACTGTATTGACTGACCGATGTTTATGGGGACAACAATGTGCTGGTGCACAGGCCAACTCACAAAGAACCGGGAAGCAGCCAAATCACTGTGCATATAGGAAAATGTCTCTGGTGTTGTGATGTGAAGCAGGTAGTGTTAGCAGTGGGATTCAGAAAGCAGTGCAGAATGCTTAGCATGTGGTGATAGTCGAAGAGAAAATGAAAAATACTTTGTGGGTTTGGCTTGATCAAGTCAAAGAACTGAGCTGGCTGAGAAAATTAACGTTTAGCTCTCCCAGGTTTTAGAGAGCAAAACCAACATCTCTGGCTTGGAAAGCAGTGGCTCAGCTAAAAAGTCTGTCAGAGCTGCAGCAGTGGAGTTACACAGTGAAGGGAAAAGGCACTAACCCTGGTCGTGCTCCTCAGCATTTCCCCTCATGAAACCCCAGTCTACCGGAGAGGAAGCCTATGCAGGCTTGAGTCAAGGACCCAATCAAAGGTCCTCCCTTACCTTTGCTGATGTGTACAGAGGTGCAGCACAGGCACTGCTCAACACACCAGCAGAAGCTAGTGAAAAGTTGAACTTCTGCTTGCTGAGTCACAGAAGGATCCTAGATCTTGATCTGGATAGCTTTTTAATCGCTATCATTCATATGGACACTGCTGACATTACAAAAAAAAATCCCAGTAAGACTGATGAAGGGAGATGTGAAGCTTTTTCTGTCCTGCCTTTGAGCGCGTGAAGGTAAATGATTCATTCCTTGCATCAGAGGAATACATCTCTTGCACATATTTAGACCCTATTTTGGAGCTGTACCCTTGCACTCCTGTATTGTATGAGCGCAGCGCTCAGTTCTTTTAAGTTTTTGGAAGACAAGGCATCCTTCATAGGGTGTTTTTAGGGAAGGCAGCACCAGTCAGTATTGCAGTGTGAATGGACTACTGTTCTGCTGCAGTGCTCCTTTCCTCCAACCAGGACTGCACTTGCCAGGATCTTCCTTGTTTTCTTCTTTGTCAATTTTAGGTAGATCAGAGAGTCTTCAAAGACTTCCTGTCGGAGAAGTTGCCTCGCCTTACAGCTCATTTTGAACAGTACCGGATTGATGTCTCCCTCATCACTTTCAATTGGTTTCTTGTGGCCTTTGTGGACAGCTTGGTCAGCGACATCCTCTTGCGAGTGTGGGACGCCTTCTTGTATGAGGGAATTAAGGTGCAAACCTAACCTTTCTGTGCATCACCCCCGTGACATGACACCAGTGTGGTGGGCAGGCACACGAGTCCAAGAGATGTGACTTTGAGCGTCTCATCCTGCCCTTTTTGGTGGGATGTCTCCATACCTCAGAGTCCTCCCTATTGTGTGTGTCCTTGCTGCCTACAGGCAAACATAGTCCCTGACTGTGTGCACACTGTCAGGCACCAGTTAGTATGAAACAGGTCTGTGACAGGCAGTGGTGTCCTCTGCTGTGCCACCCACGTGTACCTAAGTGTGAAAGGTGCAGGGAACAGAAGGTGGTCAGGGGGTTAGCATTACCCAAAAAGTGTGCATTACCCTGCTTCTTGGCATACAGAGAGCTGGAGGAACCTTGTGCAATCCCTTGGTGGTCATTCAGCGGCATCTGCTGTACTCTGGGGTTACAAAACAGCTTTCTGAAGGTCATTCCCGTGGAATCAACTCTGTACTTTTTTGGGCATGCCCTCAAGCAACTATAGATTGTAGGAGGGGCCCTATGTCCAGCTTGTACTGCAATGGTTTCCTCCAACCTCTGTTTTACACCAAGAGGACCCAGTCTCTCCACTGCTGAATACTCTCCTGACTCAAATGCATCTCAATCCTCCAGGTGATTTTCCGCTATGCTCTTGCAATTTTCAAATACAATGAGGAAGAAATCTTAAGAATTCATGACAACGTGGAGATCTACCAGTATCTTCGTTTTTTCACAAGGATGATTGTGGATGGCAGGTAGGACAGTGGGTTGTAAATAGATCTCTACCCCTAGGTTAATCTTTTCTGTATGTTATGTCAGCCTAATGAGAACTGGGACCAGACCTTTAACAGAAGGCAATGTGCCTCCTCTTGACTTTCCCTTCGTGCTGTTACTTCAAGCCTGTTTGGCTTTGTCAAAGGCAAGTTGCAGCAGAGCAGGTCACAGGGTCTAAGCCAGCTTCCTTTATGCAACAACTGGAGCTTGTACTGTTGTTTCTTGGGCTTCTGTCAGCTGTAGCTCTGGGAGAATGTGGGAGCACAGCACTACTCACAGGCTTTAATGTCAGCATGCACTTGAGAGGAAGGTTTCTGTTACCAGAAGAGCTGAAAGTAGGGAATCTTCCTTACCACAAGGCATCAGAATTGGCTTTCAGTCTTCTGTCTCCTGCCAGACTGGTGATCTCTGCACAGTGATGTCCCTGTCATTAGGAGATGGTCTTGTAGGGCTGTTCTACGTGCTACTTGGGACAGTGTTTAGTGTAAGAAGAATTGCCTGTAGTTCCTTTAGACCACTGCTGCTTGGTGACTCTTGAGTTTAGAAAGCTGAAATCTGAGATGATGCTATGCATCATACTGGGGTAGGGAATAGCAAGCTTCAGTGGAGTGGGGTAGTCTGGGAAAATGCATTCCCATAAAACACTTGGGTATCTGGTACCATCTATGCCAATAAATGGATTTAGTATGCTCGTTTTTTGTTTGTTTGTTTTTCCCATCTTAGGAAACTGATGACTATTGCCTTCAATGACTTAAATCCCTTCCCCATGAAACTGCTGAGGAACCGTCGGACAATGCACAGGGAAGAGATGGAGACAGAGCTGTGTGAGCTGGAACAGATCAAGGCAGCCTATGTAAAAGAGAGAGCAGAGCAGGGACCTCAGGATCTGAAAGAAGTTGCCAGTGAAGAGGAAGAAGAAATTTAGCGAAATTCCTCATCACTCCTCTCCCACCTCACAGGAGGTTGTCAGTAGCAGCTCCCTGTGAGAGAAGCAGCAGATGGAGAGAGGTGATCACAGCAGGAGTTCATTGGCCCCTGCAAAGAAAGCTGTAGAGACAGGACTGCCGGGGGGCCTGGCCGGGTTTGTAATGGATGGGAAAGTCTCAGAGAGGTTTTATCCGCTTTCACATGGCCCCCACCAAGTGCACTTTGAACTATGTCAGAAGTGCACAAGATGCAAATGACTCATAGTGCAGGTCTCTTCCACCTTCTCTGATGGAGAGTTGAAACAGAACTTCATGCACAAGTAAAATGACTAAAACCTGAACCAAGAGCGCTCACTCACTAGTGCATAAAGCTTCTGCACTGGTTAGGGGGAGAACCTGTTATTTGAGCGTGTACTGGCCTCTTTGGCGTGCGTGTCTGAAGTTTAGTGTCTGAGTCATGCCACCTTCTCCAGGTGACAGTAAACCCTGAGGGAGCTGAAAGACATCTGCCTGTGCAACTCAGGCTGGGACAAGTGAAGTGGTTGTGGGAGGCAGGAGCTGCGTCTCCAATTTGTTTCACATGAGAGTCTGGTCTCTGAGCGTTGAGCACTAGTGTGACTCCCTGCTGGGCTGGGAAATCCTTGGAACTGCCCTCCAGAGCCCTTGGAGCTCCGGAGCTCTGTCTAGCAGAGCCAGCCATGGATTAGCTTGACCCTGGCAGCCCTCCACTATCCAGAGGCGAGTTTGCTTTAGAGAGAGACTCTTATCTTGATGTAAAACTGCAGTCTGGTTGGTGGCAGAGCCTCTTGGTATGGGAACTTTGGCTAATGGACAACAAGACACTTGGAAAACAAAACATAGCTTCAGGTTTTTTAAAAAAACACAGCCCTGCTAATATTTCAGGGTCTGGCAGCTGCATCCTGGGGTGCACACACAGGGGTCTCATTCTGGCAGAGGGATTGGATATCCATGTCCCCCACTTCCAGGCCTGCTCTCCCTGTTCCCTGGGCTGGAAGGTTTCCCTGCCTGGAGCTCACTCCTCCCCAGATCTAGGCAGTGTTGGTGCTTCTGAGCAACACAGAGAACGTCCTTTCCCCAAAAAGGAGGCTGGTTCTGCTGCCCTGCAAAGTGGGGCTTTATTCCACACGTGCTGGCACATGGAGTGTGCAACTGCAAGGGAGGCCTCTGTGTTCTTAGACTAATGAGGAAGTGAGAGCCCACTCTTGGTGGGCACCCTTTAAACCACATGTGTTATAAAGTCAGGTGTGTGTGCACAAAGAGAGCAGGAATATGAACCATGGTGCCGTTCTCAGGCAGAGGGACAGCCAAAATCACAGACCTGGTGGGTGCAGATCTGCCTGAGCTCTGTCTTGGCTCTCATCAGCAAGTCAGGCAATTTCAAGGAATCAAGGAAATTTGAGCTGAGAAATGTGGAGACCAAGTATGAATGTAATCAAAGCTGAAATTGGGTTTGGGGAGGAGCGGAAGCCCTGCATGAGGCTATGTGGTCAAAAGCAACATAGATCCACCTTGGAAGAGCAGGAGAAGAAATTGTCTCTGGAGACTGACAATATTCTCTCAAATGAAAAGCCTGAAGGGCAGAAGATTTTTATAAGATGATTCTGCTAATCTAAATTACTCATACTTCAGTGTACATGTGTGCACATGTATACCATTTTTTTTTTTTTGTTCCTGTTGTGGACATTCAAAAAGCATTATTTTTTAAAGACAGTGGAAATTAAAAGTTTCTAAAGGAATACTAATAATACTAATGGAAATCAGTATACTTGAAGCGTATTTTTTTCTTACAGCCTTTTGCCGCAGATTTCTTCATCTGTTGCAAGAGGAAGAAAAATCTTTTTTTTTTTTTTTTTTTTTTTAAGGCACTTTAAACATCCATTATCCAACCAAGCCATAATCTGACATCCCCAGGCAGCATGTAAATATACATGGGTCTAGATGTGTTATGTAATCACCTGTTTAAAAATAAATGAAACTTTTTTAAGGAAGATATAGCTGAGCTTCTGAAGTGGAGGTTCTCCTTGATGGGAAATTCTGAAATCCATCTCTTGATGGAAGGCAGAGCTCGACCTGCTTGCAGAGCCCAGTTCATCTCTCTGCCTGGGTGGCACACGTGAATAGAAGCGGTGGCTTCCCACCCAGAACAAACTCTGAGTTCTGCTGCATGCCTCATGTTGCTTTTAAAATACAGCCTTATATGCCTTAACCTAAGCTGTGACTTAAGGTAATGGGCCCACTCCTGACACTGAAGAGGATGGCTTAGTTCACTTGTTTTCCACACACTGGGTATTGGGCTGGAAGGGCCCTTATAACCATCCCGGGCGCTGCAAGCCATGGCTATAACCTAACCAAAACCCATCTTTGTGTCCTGCGGCTAAGCCCTTGCACACAAGAATGCAAAGCCACTCCTGGCACTCCTGCGTCCTGGCATGCGGCCCCAGGAAGAGGCATTCCCGGGAAGGTTGTTGGGTGCCTTGGGTTAATGTTTATCCCAACGCTGGCTTCTGTGCCAGCGGTGAGTGGCAAGGACAGGGCTGAGTGACCAGCACTGACAACAAGGGGGTGGACACGCCCGTGGCACAGGAGCTGCCCCCAGCCTGAGCTCTCCCGTGCCAACCCGCATCCCGCTTCCCACCCGGGGAATTCCTCTTGTGCCAGGTTAATGCAGGTGGCAACGCCGAGGCAGCCTCGTGTCCCCCACGGAGCTCAACAAGAGGCTGCTCTTGAGGAGTGCGAGAAGAGCCCTGCGCAGCAGCGAGGCAGAGCCCTCCACGTCGGCAAGGGCAGGACGCAGCACCGTGTCCGGCAGCAGTGCCCCCGTTCTGCTGCAGCCAGGTGTCCACCTCGGCCACAAGGTCCACGAGCTGCGATAAAGAGCCACGGATTCTTACTCGTATTAACCCGTGGCTTCCTGCCAGGGGCAAAGTCTGCCTCTGAGTTTCCAGTTTGTGAATCAATATCTGCCCTGGCTTCACGCTTTGTTTTTTTGTAAGAGCTCTTTGGCATGCTCCGGTGCCAAGCTGCCTGGAAGCTGGGACACCTCCGACAAAATACGAGTTAACAGCCACGTTCACAGATAAATTTCAGAGCCTGTTGAGAGAAAAAACAATGCCAGGTCCAAAGACAGAGCCCCCTGCTTAAAATAATACCCTCCTCTTTATCTAAGGCGATTCCAAGGCCTGCAGGTTGCGCCTCGCGTGGGCCGGCGGTCGCTGTGCACGCAGGTGTGCGGGCTCGGCGGCACATCCCCGGGACGCGGCACATCCCCGCGAGACGCGTGTCCCGCCACGCGCGGAGGCGGCGCCGTGTCGCGACTG